TAATAAAATAAATAATAATCACATCTTTTCAGACACAACCCAAAGCTAAACAATGGGGGCAGGGGGAACTATAAAAATGTAGGTGACATTTTGGACAACTGTACCTAGGAGATTAAAGCTCTTAGTGGGTTTTAACCAAAGCCAAGAAAAGAGTACAAAAAATCAAACTCAAAGTCACTTCAGATAGGGAATGAATGGGCCTTTTTCCCCCTTCCCATCTGTTTTCCATTCAAAAATTAATCTTGGATTTAAAAGACTTGTCTCCCTTTAACTCTAGTACTTCTAACATTAATACATTTGCTGTGCCTAGATGTACTGATCCTAAACAGTCCCTCATTTAGATTTTAGTTCTTAAATTCATTGTTTAGACTGTGATTAAACCTGCAAGTTTAAGACTCATTGGTTCAAAGAGGATTATCTCCTAGCTATATGAAATTCAATTTTTTTTTTGCAAATCACCCATAAAAATATAGTACTAGTACATTTCACATGGAGAACTAAAACTATTATCGTAATCTTCATAATATCCAGTCTCCCATTGTGCCAGTTTTTATCTTCAGGCATAAGAGTCACTTATATTTATTATTGAACACGGCCATTTGTGCTGAAATGTTGCATATGTCAGGGCTCTGACAATCTACCCACATTCAAATCATGAGCCTCTAGCCTCATCTCTCAGAGTTTTAAAAAATCATTTATTAGGAGCGAACATGCTGGTGTTACCTGGGTGCAGCCAAGTCTGAGACAGAAGCTAGTTTTCTTTGAGCAGGAGATTCATTCTTTTACTATATCAGGGGTATCATACTCACATCATCACGGCAACATCACGTGATGTATCAGGACTTTTTTCCACTTCATTAAACTGGGCATGGACGTAGTCAGCATGTGACATATTTGGCCTACGGGCTGGGAGTTGAGAGCCCTGTACTATACTGTCGGATCTTGCACTCTTAAAAATATTGAAATGGTCTACATATCAAATTGATAAAGACATTTAAGAATATTACTTTGAAGATTTTTTTTGTTTTTGGAGTGAGAGCAAAAACATTATTTAAAATGTGATATTGGATGAAGGCTTGTGCAAATGGAAGCTGCTGTTGAAGGAATGGAAATCACATCTGTAATGGATTCTGAGCTTGCCTGAACTTTTAAAAAGTTAATGATTAAATTGAGTTTCTTCCCATTTGTTGCACTTGGTAATTGTAATAGATGACGTTCAACTAGTCCTATGATGTCAGTCTTCTTAGTTATTTTCTGATAATTTCTTGCTCCTTGAGAGTTTCACATCTTCCTGTTTGGAAAATATCCAAAGTTTGATTAATGCCACTAGCATTTAAAGCTGTGGCTAGGGAACCTTGAATGATAAAATGTTTGTTTTTCACCTAAAACACTGGAGAAATTTCTGGATTAAATATGTGCTCTAAAGAGTTATACTATTGCTCTTGAATCAATGAGTTCAATGAAAAGGAAGAAAATGTGTAGTCAAAGGCCACAAAAGAACTGACAGCAGGTGTGGGGAGGCAATTTTTCAATTGCAGCCAATTTTTCTTTCTTCTGAAAGTTGAAGATAGAATCATGATAGCAATACACACTGGCTCTCTTTTTGCTGCAGTTAAATAAGGCTCCATTTCAAAAAAAATCTTCCTTGTTTCTTACATATGTAGGATAAGATATTTGTAAATTATATTTAAATTATATTTACAAATATAATATAATATAGACAGCAGTCTGTCATCAGGAATGTGATTCATGTATCCTGTACAGGTGACAATTGTGCATGATACTTGCTGAAGTTAAAGCTTACATATTGTGGTCCATAATGTGAAGGCAAGATTACAATGATTGGAATGATCAAATGCAACCAATCCTAAAGCTCTGACAGACGACTAAAATAATCACTGGTGCTACAAGCATGAGCTTACAAGAATTTAAAGAAGCCATTACTGACAGACGGTCTTGGTGTAATGATGTTTATTGGGTCATAAAGATTCAGAAACAGCTGAGCATCTGAACAAAAAAAAACATGTTTTCTTTAAAAGACCTTGGAAGATGTGCTTCTATTACTTGCATTTTGTACCTTTCCTGAGCAATACATAAATTATCCAATTGATGGGTATATATTCCAGGTAATATATAATTTGGTTTATCAGTGGCTTAGAGCTGCTCTTAGGATACTATTAGGATGTTCCATGAAGTCTTTCTAATTGTTCTTTCATCCAATGACTTTTCTTCCCCTCATAAGTTAAAACCATGGGGAAAAAGGAGAATTGCATCAAACCATTTTCCTTCATTTGGTTCCTTGCTAATCAGTTGAGCAGTTTGGGTGGATTATGGAAGGTGTGTATCCCTTTTCTCTCAATTCTTGATGATAGAGACAGTCTACAAATGAAAGGTACATATCAATTGCTATCAAGCAAAGAATACAATTTGAACAATTTGAACTGTAACATAAGTCTTAAAAGAACGCTATGATGTGAATTATCAGGAAAAATACACGATATGATATCCACATCTATTTATGGGATTCAGGTGCCTAAATTCAAAGCAAAGTTGGCAATCATTTGATTTTTCTTGAACATTTTTACTCTGGATCGACTTTAAAGTTCTACCAGTTCAGTTAATGAAATAATAAAAAGCAATTCTTCATTTATTTCAGTTCTTATAATAATGCAGCCTAAAAAAATAATTTTAAAAAGACTAGTTCAGTTTAGACCTGAAATCTGTGGGGACAGGCTTTTTAAGCATTGGACTGAATGTTGGAAAGGGCTATTTAAAAGGTTTATTAAGGTTTATTAAGGTCTTGGCAGTAGAAAAATGAGAAAAATATTTAACAATTAGAATAATAAATCCTGGTTTTGTTAAGAAAAATATAGTAACAAAAAGGAGAAGATGATAATTTATGAAATCAGAAGGTGGAAAGAAAAGTTTAAAGACTATGTTCTGTGTTGAAGTGCATTTGCTTTTTAATCTGCTGAGACTCCTAAAATCTTCTGTCTTCTAATTGATTTTCATCCATCTCTCCAATGGTTTCATTATAAATTTATTTATGGATCAGTTAGACATGATCTGCAAAACCAGTTTTCCACTGATTTCCTTCAAGAATATGTTGTGGACTGAATCATGAAATTCAGTTAAGCAGTGGGTGAATGGAAGGAAAAAAATCTGTTCCTGAACAGTACTTCTATCCATATTTCAGACTATGCTGTAAACAATCTCCCTAAGTTTTGTTCTCTGATTATTTGCTGCTGATGGTAGGGCAGGAAGCCCGCTTCTGGAGCCCAGTGGGACTTCTTAAGGTCATTAATCAGATTCCTACTTGCAAGCTCACATGGCCTCCGAATAGTACTGTGCAATATATATTTTCCAAGAATAAGTTAACAAATATATCCTGAAAGGGAAAAGACTGATAGGTATGCATTTAGGCATGTGCAAGAAAAAGAAATTTATATTCTATCTTTTGTGCAGGAGCTCCAGACAGCATACCAGGGGGGTACGTTGTGCTTTCTCTTCCTATTTTTCCTCATAACAACCCTGTGAAGTAAATCACCTGTGGTGATAAGCTTCTGGGGCCAAAGGTGAAACTAGAATCTGGCTCCTAGTCCAACAGCTTAACCACTACACTACACTGCAATGGTTCTCTAATATGCATGTATGAATGAATAATTTGAAGTGTTAACTGCACTCAAATCTAATTTAAACTTTTGTTTTATGGAACCAAGGATAGCTAACCACTGGTTTACTTTGTTCTAGGGCCTTAATACTAAATTTGATGTATGTTGACTTATTGTAAAAAGATATTCACCTGTGGAAAGATGTTGAGGTCCATTTCTTGCTATACATTTTAGAGTTCCATCTTCTCCCACATCAGTTTACCTAGTTGTTAAAACAGTTCTGTTCTTTTTGCCTCTATAATTTGCTCACATAAAACTTCTTTGCGAAAGGGAATTAATTATTCCCTGGTTAAATGTGGATTCCATCTGTTAAGAGAACTCTTCTTTGCCTATTGTCCAAAAATTTAGGTACGGCTTTCTAGTTCTCAGTATATCAAGGCATAGGCAGAATTCTACTTGACAATAAAAACATGGTTATGGTATTGAAGATAGTTACCTTGCATTCAGAAGTTGTTGAAAAGAAAGAAAATCTCATAGGATGAAAATAGCAGATCATCTTACTGCAGACAGTGGGTATATTGAAGATCAGCTTTAAGATTACATTTTGGGGGCAGAAAGTAGGAATGCTTGTCTGATGAAATTATCAAATGGGGTTTCTCCTTCTTTTCATGCATTCATCATTCATTCATTCATTCATTCATTCACTTTCTAGAGCCACCCATCTCATTCAATGACTCTAGGTGGCTTACAATTGAAAAAGATATATTACAATGAAATATGCTAAAAACAACAATAAAAATACTAAAAATATTCAGGTTAAATATACTTAGAAGTAAGATTCCCCTGTCCAGTTGCTTTATGTTTTTCCCTGACTTCCTTCTTCTTTATGCTATTCCCCCCTCTTTCTTACTTACAATAGACAGAAATAATCTCAGAACAACTATGCAAAGTAAATAAAAGTGTTCATGTTCTAGTCTGCTTTGTTGTGCACTGTTAAAAGATAGGACAAGTATATAGGTAGGTGTTGGCTGATGATACTGCTGAAGTCAAATTAAAATCTTTTCACAGTTTTTGTGATCTGTAAAATGGATCCCTATTTAGCTTGTTTTGGGTAAACAAGCCTGAATTTTGAGAATTGTATGATATGAGTTTGTATGTTTGCTGCTACAAGTGATATTACCATGGTATGTAAATAGTGCAAGAATTATGCACGAACAGAGTCCCCTTGTGGTGAAATTTAATTTAAAAAATGATAAATAAATCTGTCTCATTCATAGGAAGATAGATGTGCTATTTCTTAGCTTTCAAACTTGCTGGAAATATCTAATGGTGCTTTTTATTATCAAACATTTCACATGTGGCTTATCACTATCTTTCTTTATCCCACAGGGTGTCCACATTGTAAGAACTCAATCCCACATTTCACAACAGCAGCAGAACTCTTTAAAGAAGATCGTAAGGTAACTCTACAGTCATTTTGGGGTTTTTGGAATCAACTCCAGATTATTTGATCTATTGTTTACTTCTTCTGCTTTTAGAAACATGTGAATAATTTCCCACTTTGCCCCTCTTCTTGATTTCTTCCAGTTAAATGTGATTAGTGGAGAAGGATTTTTTTTTTGTCTTGGGGCAATCTCAACTTGAAGTGAAGATTTTTGTCTAGGATTTAAGGAAAAGAAACATAAACATGTAAGAAACCCCCAAGAGCAGCTTGCTGTGAATGTTACCACTTGTTCTATTACTAAAAGAGACCTACTCTTTTTCAATTTTGAGATGAGAATTGTCATTAGACTGAGAATATTGGTTGGCTAGATTCAAATTGTGGACTTATTATGGACTTCTAACACATAATATAGATAGCATCTTCAACAGTCCCATGATGTACTAATTAAAGTTCAGAAAGATCATTGCAAAATGACAGATCTAGTTGTAGGGTTCAAATGTTGAGAACTATGAATATTGCCCTATGAGAAAATATTGAGAGAAGTTACTAAGTCTTGGGGAAAATGAACCATGGAATTCCTGATCTAGGTTTAGTAGGTGTTTGTGCATAGAGATATGCATAAATACAAACTTACATATGTGTTTGTGTTAACCATTTTTGGGAGGATAAGTGCTATAAGTTTTCACTGAAGTGAAATATCTAATTTTGCCACAAACATTCCTCCAAATAATACTTCAAATGAGCATTGCACTATTCTGTGTTATTCTGGAGTGCAGGTCACAGGAGAATGAACTTAAAGGAAGGCAGATTTAAACTTCTTAAGACTAAAAGCTGTTTCATAGTGGAACCAATTACCCAGAGAGATAGTGGATTTGCCTTCACTGTGTATCTTTGGATCAAGTCTAGAGACCCTACTATTGAGAATACTTTAATTAGGATTCCTTCACTGAGCAGGGAGTTAGTCTTAATGATCTGAATGGGCTTTTCAAACCCTGATTCTGAACAAGAGCTAGAAGTTGAATTAGGAAAGGCATGGAGACAGCAATACATTCCTCCTACTGTGACAAGCACTTCAAGGAGAAGTGTATTGCCTTCTTTTGCACGTATATGAGTATTTTTAAAATCTTGATTATTCAGTATCAGTTCCTCTTTTGCCATACCATCAATACTAAGAAAACTTATTGCTTTTCAAAACTCAAATGGTTTTATTCTATCTTGGCAACCCATCCCAAGCAACATGCAACTCCACACCTACTCCTTCCTCCTCTATAGCTACAGCATGAATACCACAACTTTGTGGATAGCCCATGAGTCTTTCTCAACTATGGTAATTCCCCTAATACTGAGAACTTTGTGTGTATAATGTAAAATAACTTTGTCCAAATTATGGGTAAATTCAGAATTTGCATTGCTTCCATTGAGTAATAGATTTATTCAAAACCTGACAAAGATTGAGAGAGGTCCTTTTAGACCTCAAGATGGTGATTGATGGGTGCAGCCCTTATTTCAACTAATAGTAGAAATAAGAAATGTGCCAGCCAACTAAAATGTAGAAGTATAAAATTTAATGAGCTGGAACCTAAGTTCCAATTCAGGATATTGAATTTGAGAGTAGTTCCTGAAGGCCAGGCATACAGGAAACACAGCTATGTTTTTATCTACTTTGCTTGACTTTTCAAGGTGGTGGAGATTGATAATTCTATACTATTTCTTCAATCATATACAATTCAATTCTGCTGAAGTGCTCTTGGATTTGCTAATGACCTTTATGGATATTCTATACAGACTGTACTGCTGTTCAGGGATGCACTTCAGCATTATCGTAAAGCTCTTTTTAAACAATTCCTTTCTCAATTTTCTATGAATCTTTCTTTTGGTCTGGCTGCTGCTACACAGTTCAGTAGAGAACAGATAAGCAGGTACGTAAAACAAATTGGACTTTAAAAATCCAGCGAGCTTTTAATTTTCAAAGGAAAATATTTGCATGTGCCACATAGTTTTTTACAAGCTTGTATTTGTCCCCAACATTGTGGTTCTCAGTTTTCCATCTTCTTAAGTCAGTCAATATAATACCACAATGGAGGAACAGATTGTATAACCCAGATAGGAGAATTAAGATACAGAGTTATCAGTCGCTGTCTTTTGCTAGCTACTTATTGAAAATCCTTGAACTATGTCATTGCCTTCATAAGGCGTTTTGCTATTTGAGAAACTGCAGTGCATATTTTTAGGATCATAATTCCAGTACCTTCAGCCAATGCAAATATTTGGTTTGAACTGTTTCCATTAAAGTTGGCCATCATGGGAACAATTATGAAACTTTGAAAAGATGGAATATCTATTGCTGATTCCATTTTACCTCTTACATTCCTTTAGAATTGTATATTTTGAATAGTTCTTGCCCACTTGCCTATTTTGTACTCAGTCTGTGTAAAGTAATGTTAGTGATTAATATTTAGAGTTATGAGGAAACAAGTTACCTAATCACCATACAGTAGTAAAAACATAAGAATATTAGAGAACTAACACCAAATAAAAACATTTTCTTAAACGTTGAAACCAAAGTGTATCCTATTTACATTAATGCAATATAATCAGTATCACACCCAGTCTTGTGACATCTGAATGTCTAACAAATGTATTCTCTCATAAACTGTTGTGAATATGAGGCTGTAAATACCCATACTGCATTGTATGAGTTTAACTCTACGCCAAGCAGGGTGACTCTGAGGTGGAAATGGACTGTACCTAAATTTGATAAATAAAAAAGTAAATAAAAGATTTAGGATTTTCTTTTCCTGCAAACCAGCATCAGCAACTACATACTCTGAAAGCTTTAATCTAGTCACATCAGAAACACCACTAATACTCCAAAAGATCCTCAGCTGTTCTTCAATTACAAGTTACTATCCAGCATGAGAAGCTCATATTTTGGCACCATATTGTCAGTCACTTCATCTCATCTATGGCTGTGGTTTTCTTGGATTGATTTGCCATTTCTTTCTCCCACACAGAATGTAATGACATCTTTGCCATTATAACTAAAGTGATCATCTGCTTCCAGCAACTTCATATATTGTTGCCACCCTATGTAGAGGCCAGCTTGCTTTAGCTGGACTGCTGGGATGAACTTCACACCACAGGTGACTCTACTGGGACTATATATTCTGGGGATACACTCTCAGCCTTCTTTCTTCATCACCAACATTATTCCCAGCTTATATGCAGCATCCAAACCTAGGCTGATCTCCTGGGAATCACTGCATAACTTCATTGAGTTGATCAGAAACACAACATTTAATTGATACAATAGTTCATAAAAACTAAGCATCCTTCATCCATAGCCCCTTTATAGGGAACCAGCATTCTGTAATATTCATATGTAGAATCAGAACTGAAGTCACTTGGTATTAGTATCCTTTTCTGTATAAACAGGTTTGTCAACTTTAATTCACTACTTTCCAAAAGTAGTGATATTTTTAAAAGAGATAACATTTCAGTCTGGGAAAGAACATAGGGGGAATTGAAGACTTGCCCTTTTTCATTCTTCTCTAAAATCAATGTTCAGTAAGCTATTCACTTCCATTTTCATAACAAATGTCAATATTTGCTGCTGTGGAGATTTTTTCCTTGAATCAACAAACTGATGAGTGGCAGTACATATTTTAACAGCAAAAAAATAAGCCGAATGTTCCTCAGAAGGTTTTTATTATCGCAACCGTAAGAGCTTAAAAAACAGTCCTTGGAAAGGCAAAGAAGGCAGAGTATGAGCATTTAAAGTGACTTTTTCTTGTATTTTAGTCAAACAAAACCTAACATGGAGTGAATAGTTTGCTGTTTGTTTGAACACAAATAAATCATAGCAGTTACATGCTTCAATTGCTGATAATTTAAATTAAAAAAAAAACCCTAAGTTTGTAGGACAATAAACCTAAATTGAAGTACCTTACACAGTTTTTATCTGTTTACTACATTCTTTGAAAGTTCTTGTAATGCTTTTTATTAAGTATTGGGTTCCATCACATTCCATGTCAGGACAGAATTCACTCATCTGTAAATAATCATAGATTAGATTCCTGGACAGGAATACCAGATTTTCTGATGTCTAGGATTTTGTTCCCTATTATGCATTTTAATATCACAATGACAGCTAAATTCTCAGAACATCCATTTAGCTATTTTACTTCTTTTTTACTATGAGTGTGGTATTACTAGCTTATCACTCTGTGCCTTTTCTGGTAGAGTAGACAGAAGGACATCTCCTCCAGGATTTCTTTTCAATAAAACCATCTAACCTGTGTGAACTGCTGCCATACTGAATTCAGTGACAACCTTTGGTTAGTATTTTCTGAAAGTATGCAATGTATGAGGAGATATGGATAGTCCTCGACTTACTACCACAATTGAGCCCCAAAATTTCTGTTGCTAAGTTGAGACATTTGTTAAAAGAATTTTGCCCCATTTTATTATCTTTCTTGCTACAGTGGTTAAGCAAATCACTGCAGTTCTTAAGTTAGTTAACACAATTGTTAAGTGAATCTGGCTTTCCCATTGCCTTTACTTGTCAGAAGGTGATCACATGACACCAGGAAACTGCTACCATCATAAATATGAATCTGTTGCCAAGTGATCAGGTGACCTTGGGGATGCGACAGAGGAAAGTGAAAAGTGATCATAAGTGACTTTTTTCAATGGCATTGTAATTTCAAACGGTCAGTAAATGAATGATTATAAGTCAAGGAATACCTGTAGTTGCTTTTGTCTGAATCGAAAGTTCTTTGTTAACCAACCTAAATCCTAACATTGTGAAAATTACACCCTAAACAATTTTGTCCTACCATACCTTAATTTCCCTTTTGCTCTCAACTCAGTAACCTTTCTGAGATGGAGCAAATGTGACACTTAAAGTCATTGAAAATAACCCATTCTGTATATTTTCAATAAATCATTAGACAATTTTTACTAAAAAGAATGTCCAACTGTTTCCTGGAAAAAAGTGTTTTAAAAAATAAGTTA